GTTCTGTCCACGACGCACTTTGTTCCTACTGTGTTTGCTTTAGTACATGTTTTTTTCTCAGTCCCATAACAATAAAACGCTAGAACAAAAAAAAACAAACATGTTTTCGTTTCGCACCACAACAGTTGCAACATCGTCCGCAGAAGAAGCAAATCCCTGTTACTGGCAAAAGTACGATAAATAACGCACCAATGACCAGCAGTATCACTGCCCATGCCTGAATAACCCAGACAGTCTTTTGTGTGAGAGAAGGAAAAAAGGGCACTCCGTAGACTTTTTAAACTTAAACCATGCTAAAATAGTTTCGAATTTTTATATGGGGAAAGTGACAAACTCATCCAGAAAATGCAAAACTGCAGCCAGAACGGCTTCAGATTTTTTTTGTTTGGCTAGGTTGTGAAAAAATATTAAGCTTCGAATTTCATCAAAAGGTAATAAATGCCGCGAAAAGTAACCGCTCTATTTCGGCCGTACAGGTAAAATAATAAACGAAACGAATGCCAGGTTTGTCAGCAGGCTGACCAGCAGACGATGCAGCAGTGGTCAAAATAACATGAAATGAAAATGAAAAAAAGAGAATGACGCGGGGTTGCCCTTTCCGTCACTGATGAATCAGTAATGAATTAGTAGCCGCTTCAAGTATCACTATTCTTAGCGGCAAGGGTTTGTAATTTGTCATGAAGAATAAAAGTTAAAATTATAACTATGCCTTTTAGAATTGTTCGGGCAATCGCTCTCGGAAGTGTATGTACTAAGATATTAGAACAGCTAGTAATGTTAGTTTTGACTGAAACATACCTGCTTCTTTAAGAAATAGCCAGCGCTACTTTGCAATGAATCAGTTGAATTTAGCTTCGTTATATCGGCTAATTGCTGAAATATAGTAATTTAAATCTGAAAAAGAGCCGAGGATCTGAAGCCCGCAGTTGATTCGTAAAGAGTGAAGACTAGATATGTGGTATTGAAATGAAATTTTCAGTCGTAGAAATAAAAGAAGGATTTCACTTGAATGTTATGTTTATGAAGACATTTTATGATGCAGTTTGCGCTTCATCTCTTAGCTGTATACACAGACTGGACTACGCATGCAGGTAGGAGAGAGAATCATCAGTACAGCCTCCTGCTCGCTAATGCTTTGATTAGCCATATAACTAATTTGCAAGATGGATAAGCGAAGAAAGAGGTATATGTGAAGCAAATAAAGTGAGGGAGCAAAGAAAGAAAGGAAGTTAACTTTAGGGAAGTGGCACTACAGCGAGCTCATGCAGAAATACA